AGAGAGTTGGCTCAGCAATGAGAGTGCTTACTTCTCTTCCTGAGGGCCAGGGTAACTCCAGCGTCGGGATCCAAAGTCCTCTTCTGACCTCAACAGGCACCTGCATATCTCTCTCTCCCCCAATCCTCTCTCACACACCCATGGTGGGGGCAGACAGAGAGAAAGAGGTTTAAGAGCTGGCTCTGCAGTTAAGAGCACTTGCTGCTCCTCCAAAGACCTGGGCTCAGATAGCAGCAGCCCTGTCAGGCAGCTCACAGCCATCTGTAACTCCCCTCCCTTCCCTCCAGCTTTAACTGCCAGAAGCCAACCAGCATCCTTACCTCCTACTTGCAAGTTTCACTCAGGCCGCCAGCTCCACCTTGCCACATCTGAGTTCTGAGGACACAGATACCCTCCTCCAGGTTGCCTGCCTTCGAACTCACCACATGATCTCACAGTACCTTCCAGAAGTTCCTCAAAGCTCAGCCACACACACCCACCCTGTCAAGTTTCCAGGAAGTGCATCTCATTTCTAAGACCACTCATTTCTAAGATGTACTTTCAAAATCTACTGTTCACTGTGTGTTCATCACTGCTAATCCCCACTTCCTCTCTACCCTGAGAACAAACACAGGGGAGTGCACCTTACCCATGGAGCTTACAGCCTAGCAAAGAAAACCATGCAAGATGAAGACAGTGGACATCCAATCCTCCCACTTGGGGTACAGAGAAGTTGCTAAGGAGCAACCCAAATGCCCCGGGTCCAAGAGCTGGAGGAGGTGGACAACCCCAGTAAAGAATCAACAGCAGGGGGCACCCTAGGATACCTTTCAGGAGCCAAAGCAGCCCATTGAAGGTTGTGAGGCCCGGGACACAGCCCAAGTTAATGTAAGCCACTATGATGAAGAACACAGTAGGAGGGGCTGGAGAGACTCCTGCTAAAAGGTAGGACACACTCACATGCCCATCAACAGGTGAACAGTGAAGCAAATTATTCAAATGTCAGGGAAATGAGGAAGCAATACGGTTTCCAGCGTGGAGGCAAGGGAAAGGAGCCAAGCTCAAGAGCACACAAAGCAGGCACAGTTACAACTGCATTCACATGAAGGTCCAAAACAGGCAACTCTCAGATGGGAAGCAGGTGAGAAATGGGTGGCACAGGGCCAGGATGAAGCTTCTGCCTAGCTTCCAGGTGGCGATGGAAATGCTCTCAAATGAATGCTAGCTATGGCACCGGGCCTGAGACGTAGAAAAAGCATCAGACTCCCCGTGGGTGACTAGGAGGCCAGAATTGTGTCGCCATAGCACAAGAGGCAGAAAGGGCTTCTGAAATCTTCCAGGAGAGAACAGCACTGAGCAGGTCTGAGGTAATGGAGGGCTCAGGTGGAAGCATGGGTCCAAGTGTTTGTAGGGCCTGTTGTCCAGCCCCGAGCACTTTACTGGCGTACAGAGCCTTTCTCACTGGTGTCTCTTTAGTGTGTAACCATCCCGTCTCAAAACAGACTGGCATGCCACCTTGGAAAGAAGACTGGCGTTTACCTTTCTAGAGTGAAAAGCTCAGCAAACAAAACTGCCTTTCATCCAACAGTCTTGGGATAGGTGCTCCTAGAATAGACCAGCATGCAGATTTCGGTGTCTGACCTAGAGCATGAATCATACTGAAGACATGATTCAGGGCCCATGAGCACCTGATATATAATCCCTTTCAAGAAGACAGATTATTATTGCCACGCTTGAGGACAGCCCCTCAGAGTCCTAGTCCACAAAATCGATAGATCAGGTGGTGCACCAGACTCCAAGTTCACCTGCAAGATCTTTCTGGCCAGGTCATGCCAGCTCCAACTGCAGTTCAGACAGAGCGCCTCCTCACTCTGCTCACACTGGACTGCAGTAAGTCCAGTCAGGTGAGGCTACCACAAGCCACAAAAGGCTTTGCAGAGAACTCCAAAGGAGGGGGAAGAGGCTCCAATATTTATGACATGCTTGTTATTTAGACAAAGTGCTTCTTGTGCTTGACAATGAAGATTAACATGTTACTGCATCTCAGCACGTGCGCAAATTCTCAGAGTGAAACCATCGGGAAGCTAATAGAGGGCTTCACACAGCATGTCTTAAGTCTGTCCTCCCCCAGGTCCAAAACCTACATGGCAGGCTGCCTGTTCTTTGGGGAGCCCATCCCCCTTCACTATTCTGGGGGAAGGGATATGTACTCCTCTTGCAAAACACAAGGTACATAGTAGGTACTTGTACTTAACCCAAGACCCCAAATGATGGGAGGAAAACTGTTTCTCTCCTTTCCTCTCACCAAGCACTTTTAGGAGTCCTTTCAATGTGTCTCTATTTCTCAAAGTAAATGAAACACAAAACAAAACATCCCAGTGCCAAGGTGGGGCACTATCTGTTGGATATTACCCATTGCTATTATGAGTCTAATGAGGAAGGAATTGAAAGGTAACCAGCCAATCCCTTCCTCTTACTGTGTAGTTCATCATCTACCTGTGAACTTTTGATTGAATGTAGCCTTTTTATTTCATATTTCAAGGGGTGGCACAGGAAAACATCTCTGGAGGTGGAAAGGCTAACACTGTTCTGCAAGTAACTCTACAGAGAGATTGTGCTTTCAAGACTTCCTTGAAATAAAATGCACATTATACTACACCTGACTTACAAAAAAAAAAAAAAAAATTCATCCTCATTCCTGCACTACAACTTCTGGGCAAGTTTTGTGGCATCCAAGCCCAGCCTGTTCACAAATCTGGGTTTTGGAGTCTTCTCTGACCTTGTAAATCCACATGTACCCAGCCAAACTGTCAATCACCACCAATGTCCCAGAGAGGACAGCAGAGAATGTTAAAAAAAAAAAAAAAAAACACTAGCTCGTCACATAGATGAACTCTGAGAGCCCTCTGCAGCCAGCGTGGGAGAGACAGGCAACTCTATTAGCATGCTGAACCGGGCCTCAGGCCCCCTCCTCTCCCTCTTTTATGAGCCCTTGTTATATAAAGGCCACAAAGAGAAACAGAAAAGCGGACTTGCGGCTACAAACACAAGTTCCGATGGCCGGGCCAAACCCTGGCTGCCTACCAGATGTTATTTTTAGGTATCTAAACGAGAAACATTTTTAAAAGGCCAGAGAACAAAAGTTTTCTGGCTTCCTTTCTTTCTTTTAAAGCACTCACACAAAAAAGATGGAGGCACTGTTCCTTTGCAGGCAGTACTCCCGAATTCAAATTTAAAGGCAAAGACGTCCAGAGGGTAGGGTAAGAAGGTTCCTTTTCCTAGCGGCAACCTCTACCTTCTAACAGGGTTTTCAAAGATTTCCTTTGTAGCCTTATCTAAATTCCAGCATGCAGGATAACAAATAGCTACTCATTTACTATCATAAAAATTTAAACAGCCCCTGAAATAGTTGCCACAACACAGAGGAAACGATCGCAGGGAATCTCTGAAAGACCTACTCCAGATAGTGAAACTACTGCCTCGAAGATCCCACATAAAGAGACATTGTTGCGGAGAGGCGCCTAGCACTAGCTTTCCCTTTCAAATCTTCGACTCGAGGATCCCAAGACTCCACAACTTCTCGTTTTACCCAGTCTATCACACAGTTCTGGGTTTGTTGTTAAGCTTTTTTTTTTTCAAGTATGTGGTTTGATTCTACACAGTGATTAAACATCTTTGTGCTCTGCGAAGAAGGGTCTCCCCACCCCTCCCCCTCCAAAAATGGCATCGAAGCAATCAAAATGGAAATGCCGGGCCTGGGTCCCCTCCCCCCGCGAACTCCCCGACTTCGCCGGGGCCGCGCGCAGGCCCCCCTCCGGCGGGAATGGAAGCTTCCACTCGCGGACGGGGGCGCGCAGCTGAGGGGTGCAGGGGCCCGGCTCTGACAGAAAGGGCCAGAAGCCTGACTCCCCCGCCTAAGGGTCCAGCCAGGCGCCCCCTCCCACCACTTTGCAACTTTAAAGACTCGGCCTGGAGCCCATGCCTGCGAGCCAATGCGTCTTCCCGAGGGACTGTGAAAGCCAGGCCGCTGGGGAGGAGGACCCCGCAAGTTGGGGGAGGGGAGCCGGCCGGCGAGGGTCCCCAGGCTGCCCTAGTCCGGGGCGGGCAACGGCATTCCGAAGGAAGCGAAAGCAATGCCAGGGCGAGGGCGGCGCGAGGTGGGGAGGGAGGGGCGCGCCCCCGCCTGCCGTCTCGGAGACCCGGGTGCACCATTGGCTGCACCGCTCAAAGTTCTCGGCCGGGGGCGCGCAGGGGACGGGGGCGCGCGCGGAGGGGGAGGGGCGCGGGAGCGCGCGGCCGGCCGGGCTCCGGCGGCGGCATCTGTTCGTGGTGCTGAAACCTGGAGCGCTGAGCTCAGCGCAACTAACTCACAATGGACAACTTTTCCTCGCCGAGGGGGCGGCGGGCGCACACCCCCATGGCTGGAGCTTCTGGCGGGTCTCCATAACCCCTTTCAGGCATAGACACTCAAGTTGGGGCAGAAGCGGTGGGTCTTGGGGGCGCCTTTCTTTTGTTTCCCGGGAGCTGGCCTCAGGTTCTGAGAATAAAAAGTGAGGCCGGCGGGATGGCATAGCAGGGAGGGGGCCGGCCAGGAGAAGGAACACTGAACCAGGTCGGCCGCCACGCGGATATGGCTTCCCAGGAGTTTGGGGTGCAGGCCCAAACTACCTCCCTCATGCGTCCCCCTCCCACCACAGCAGGGATCAGGGGATGCAGAGGCCGGGGAATGTCCACGTTCCCAAAACATGTCCACCGCTCAAGATGGACGCCGGGCAGCCGGCGCCTCGGAGGTACAGCGCCGATCTTTGGGCGGCCACAGGAGCCAAGCGCTCTCCTCAGCCGCCACCAACCAGCTCTTTCTATCAAGAAAGGGAGGACAGCAACTTTGAGGAATGCAGCCAGACCCCCCACGGGAGTCGGTGCGTGCGACGCCCGCACTGGCACTTTTTAGGGTGCTGCCAAAGTGCCCAGAGACCCTCCCTGAGCCCCCGTCCTCGGTGGAGGTCAGGCCCCCTCCTTACTTGTTTGTCGCTGAGCGCTGCGATCCGGGGCTGCCTTTCGTGGAGCTGCTTCTTGAGGTCGCCGTTCTACGGAGACACAGAGGAGCAGGTTCAGCCTGGCCGCCCGTAGGAAATGGGGGCAGGTGAGCCCCGATCCCCGTGAGCCCACCACCCAATGCCAGATGAGCCAGGCCAGCCGCAGCGCGCCCTAAGTTTCCGGGGCCGTGTCCCACACACGGACGACCGTGCAGTGTCGTGCGGAGCCGCTTACCTGTGGCTGCCGCCTCATTGGGGCAGCTCCCGGGGCGGGGCGGGGGCCGAGGCCACCCGGCGGCGCGCCCCGAGCCGTGCAAGTTTGCAGGCCGGGGTGCGGGTGCGAGTGAGTGTGAGAGTGTGTGCCGGGGGAGGGGGGACGAACAAAGAGCCAAGTAAACACGGCGAGTCCGTGTCGAGCAAAGCTCATAAATATTCAAGTCGCGTCCTAATCTCCCCAACACACACACACACACACACACACACACACACACACACACACACACACACGAGCACGCCGCAATACCGCTCGGGCACCGGCCGGAACGGCGCCGCTCGCCTGAGTCACAAACGCCAAAACTACTTTTGCTAACAGTGTGGGTAGGTGCTGGGTTGGGCCCAGCGCAGGAGACTGGAGCGGGCCTGTCCATGCACCCCGTTTCCAGGACAGCTCTAGAAGAGTCCCCTTCCCCGGTGCCCAAGTTGCGAACCCGGAGGCGACAGAGAAGACGCCGGGCTGGGGTCCCACACGTTCTAGACCTGCAAACAGTGCAGGATCACCCAGAAGCGAGAGGGACAGGGAGATCTAAGGGACATGGCCCCGAGACAAGCTCCTGGAGGGGGCCTGCTCCCCGGACCCTGTGACCAAGAGTTAGGTACAGAACTCTGGTCCCTCTAGCCTCTTCTCCCCAGGCCACTACTCCTCTCCTGTCCAGGTCCCCGGACCACCTACCTGGTGGCGCGCAAGTTCCACCGCGAGCGCCTCAGACCGGCTTTGCAGCTCCATCGCCGCAACTTGGGCAGCACTTTGCGCTCACTTTGGCCCGAGCTCGCGGGAAGTTGTGCTGCTCGACCGGGACCAGACCGGGAGAGCTCGGATTCAACGTCCCGGCACTGGGGGACACTAGTTCCTTCCTGCAGCACCGACAGAAAAGGGGGCTGACGCGGGGAAAGAAAGGCGAGCTGGCGCCCAACTCTTCCGGCTGCCGCTAAGTTGCGCCGGGTGCCCGGGCTGCCTGCGCCGCCCGGCGCATGGCCCCCCGGCGCCGGGAGCCCCGCGCAGCCCCCCAGCGCGCGCCCTGCCGCCGCCCGCTCCAGCTGACCGCTGGCAGGGACTATATTTCCTCCGGCGCGCGCGCCTGGATCTCGCTGGGGCCGCGGCAAAGTTGTGCCTCGGCACGATGCTAATTCGGCAGTGCCCGGATGGAGCGGGCCGGGGCGGCAGGGGGCGGTGCCGGGAACCCGCCGCCCGCCCGGCCAGCCCCGCCCCACCCGCGCGTGCGCAATGTGTGCAGCCCGGCGAAGGAGCTCCGGGAACAAAAGTGGCGGCTGAGCGGAGCGCAAAGTCGTGGCTCCCAAAGGGGGGCCCCGCGTGATTTTCTCGGTGAGCAGCCAGGAGCACGGTGAACCGGGAATGCTCTCGCTGTTCCACTTCGAGGGTGACACTTCCCGCCGCAAGCTGAGATGTCATCCCCCTGCATCTCGCACCTCCTTCCTCCTCCGCTTCCCCTCCTCGCCTCGCTCTGGTTTCGTTTAAATCACCCGGGTGGTCCTCTACCCCCAGCGCTGCGATTCGGGAAACTAAAAAGTCCTGTCGCGGGAGTCACAGCGCCTGATGGCCTCCGTGGTGTTTAAACACTATGAAAACCGATCTCTTGACTATTCTTTTAATGTTTTTTTTACACTCACAATTAAACTCTCAACAGATGTCACTAGACTTTTTTTTTTCCAGACAGTTGTTAAAAATCGTAAACACGCTGGGTCAGTGTGACATAAAACAATCACAACTACAGCTGCGGAGATGGCGTTTCAGAACTCCCAGTCCCAGAGCTGAGGTCAACGTCTCAGAGTCGAGATTACGGCAGAGTTTCCTGTCCTCATCAATTATTGTCGGAGGCTTTGTGCCCTGCTGAGCTCTAGCACACTCGTGTTGCAAAGAGGCAGCGAGAAAGGGGGCCTCCGTGTCAGAGTAAATGAAATTGATAGTGACTCATAACTCTTTCCATGGGTCACCAGGAAGGAAAAAAGGAAGGGAGGGAGGGATACCAATACTCTACACATTTCCTTTACCCCCAAGAAGAAATCTCTCTCACACACTCACACATGCACACACGCCAGAACACCAGTGTTGTTAGGGCCACTTCTGGTTTAGACCCAGTTCAAAACAATGTGGCCCACTCCTTCACTTTTTTCTTTTCTTTTGCAGTTAGCACTACTGGGAATCTAGCCCAGGTACTCAAGCATGCCAGGCAAGCCTCTGTCACTGAGGCACACTCCCAGTTCTGCTCATGACTTTTGCTTGGCAGGATAGAAGCCTGGTGGTCAAAGACTGGTGTGTTTGGAGGGCCAGGGAGGGTATCTTCTAGCCAAGAGGCCCCCTCCTGCGGTTCCTGTTAAATGTCATTAGCTTTCAATGAAAACCTGCAGTTATCTTATTGACCATCCATGGTTATCTCGTTGGCTAGGTGGTCCTTAGAGCAGACATTCTGGTTGTCTTTAGCTAGCACAGACTCTAGCATTTGCCACCTGAAGAGGTGCAGCTCCGATGGTGATGGTCCAGGATGGTTTGTAGTTTTGCTTGCTGTCCACTGATTTAGGTTTCAGTAATGATCAACATACCATCGTCTTCCTGTGTCAACAGCACAGGCCATGGCATGGGAGCTCTCTGAAAGTACAAGAAAGGCAAAGCAAACAGCCAAAGACGAAACACAAAGCCTGGCCCATGCTAGCAAGCACCCTACCACTCAGTTATATGCCTAGCCACCTGCTTTTGGAGACTGGGAACTTGTGATCCTCATGCCTCAGCTTCCTGAGCAGCTGGGAGGTGTTCTCATATGCAAACAAGGAGAGAGTCCTGAGCTCCTGGAGGGTTCTGCACACCAGGCCTCCCTGCCTTTGCATGAACCATGTTCCCTCTAGAATGCTTTTTCTATCATTCCACCTTTCCCAAATTTTCTTCAAGATTCACTTTAATGCCCTTTCTGGGACTCTGTCCCCTAATTTCCACATGAAAACTCCTTATCACCTCTCTGAAGGTCTACCTAGCAGGGCTTACTCATAGGGAGTACTGGGGGGTTGAAGCCAGAGTCTACCCTGAAGAGCATCAGGCAAGTTTCTCTACACCTCCTAAACCCACTTCTATGCAAGATGAGAATATATCACAGATACTAGACACAGATACTCCAGACCCCTTGGCCACTTACCCACTCCTCACCACCTTGACATGCTTAGGAGAGATGCTTGATTACTGCCCATTGGTAGCTCTATTTGTCTCCAGCCTGGCCTTGGTGGCAAGCCTGCCAGAGAGGAGCAGTATTAGCTACTTTTCAGTCACTGTGATAAAACAGCATGACAAGCTGGGCATTATCTAGTGTCAGAAGTGGGATATGAATCCATGCCTTTATTCAGAGACCAGAAAGATAATGCATGGTAAATATGAATCTGTGAAATGATAGGCAGATGTCTATTTGGGGAGAAATAATTTACATCAGAAACAGATGACTGCTGCAGGTTACCATCCTAAGGATGCCTCCAGATGCTCTCTGTCTCCAACCAGGAAATAAGAGAGCCAGCTGGGGTCCAGGACCCCAAACCAAGTCCCCTCAAGTCACACCCACACCTGTCCCCACACCCCAATGAGCATGATCAACGCAAAAGGTGCCTGCGGGGTATCTTACTATACCCCTTTAATCCCAGCACTTGGAAGATAGAGTCAACTAGATCTCAGTGAGTTTGAGGCCAGCTTGGTCTACAAATCAAGTTCTAGGACAGCTAGAACTGTTACATAGAGAAACCCTGTGTCAGGAAAACAACAACAAAACAAGGAACAAAACAAACAAACAAACAAAAAAAAAACACCATTACAAAGGCAAATTCTAGAACTGTGACTGTATTAGGACTTTTCCAGAGGGATAAAAGCCCATCATGACAGAGGAGAGGCAGCAGAAACAGAAACTGGGGGCTTACATTTCCAACCACAAGCAGGAAGTAGAGAGAATGGTCTGCGAATGCCCACTTGACACTGTCCATCACCAGTTACATTCTTCCTCCAGTAGGGTGGCACTCCTAAACATACTCTTCAGTACCACCAACTTGGAATCACATAGTCAAACATCTGAGCCTATAGAGGACATTCTCACTCAAATGTGAGTGAGTGTGGAGGCATCAGAACCCAGGTTCATTCTATGGCTATAGAAGGGACAGTTGCTTGTAGCATCTCGGGCCTCCAGTGGTCATTCAAGGGCTTGAATAGCACAGGCTCTGCATACAGCCTTTCAAGCTTCTAGCATTTTCACTGAATATGCACCAAGCTAAGCCCCATCCTCTCCTCTTCTTCATTTCCATATTCAATTTCATCTTTGTCATCTTCTTTGGGGGGACAGTTTCTGTTAGCATGGAACTTGCTATGTAACAGAAGATAACCTTGAACTCCAATAGTTCTCAACCTTCCTAACACTCTGTCCCTTTAATATAGTTCCTCATGTTGTGGTGACCCCAACCATAAAATTATTTTTGTTGCTACTTCATACCTGTGATTTTGCTACTGTTGTGAACTGCAATGTAAACATCTGTGTTTGCCCGTGGTCTTGGGTGACTCCTGAGAAAGGGTCATTTGATACACACACACCCCTCCCACCAAAGGGGTTGAGATCCACAAGTTGAGAATCACTGGATTTGAGGAATGTTCCACCTTACCTGGTTTAAGTGGTACTGGAGGTTGAACCCAGGGCTTTGTGCTAGACAAGCACTCCACCAACTGAGCTATATCCCAGCCCGTAGTGTTCATTCCACCATCTAAGTAAGACTCATGGTTTTGATGGATAGATTACATGTGCAATTTCATATGTTTACATAAAAGCCAACTTTTATGCTGACCATGAACCAGATTCAGCTGCCCATGAATATGGTTAATCCTTGCTATCATCCCCATTTACAGATGGGAAAACTGAGACCTCACAGTAGCATCTGTATGGGGCAGAGCTTGGTTCAGCCCCATCCTTGGAAGTACACCTGAGAAAAGTCAGGTTGATGGGTTATCCTGCTGCTGTAGAAGCAACCTGAGATGGAGCTTGACCTGTGCACCATGATGTTTAAGTCTCATTTCCTGTGGCAGGGTGAGGATGAGGGAACTGAAGCCCAGAGCTCATAATGAGGGCCTTGCCCTGCAGTAGCAGGATGGTGGCAGAATAAATTTTCAAACCGTGGCTGCTGCTTCCAGCACACCATGCTGCTGAGGGAATGAGAAAAAAAAAGATGGTGCTGAGAAACCCTCCAGAGCCTGTTACCTACACTTCCTGTCCTAAAGAGTGACTGCCAAGGGAACACAGGCAGAGAGATGAAGACCAGAACTGGGGAGGTGGTGGCCAAGTATGGGACTACAATTTGGAGAGGGCATTTAAGGAAAGTACTGCCGAGGATGTGGTAGGGTATGTTATATGATGGAAGGCTTGGCACAGGCCTGGAAATGATAATGCCATGTTCCATTTACAGAAGGAGCAACTAAGGTCACCCAGCCACGCGTTGGGCTATATCTACCTGAATCCAGATTAGATACCCAAGCACATGTTCTCTGAATTCAAATGGTCCATGAGCAAAGAAAAGTACCCCCCCAGGTGGGGGGGGTGCTTTCCTGAACCCAGTATGGGGGAAGTGGTAACAGATCAGAGGCCAGGGGAGCCTGGCTAGTGTAGGAGTTTGGGGGCTTCACGATGTGCGGTGTGACTACTACCATTTCACACAAGCACCCTTCTCTCAAAAATGGCTGCTTCTCAGCTTCCTTGAGGAGGAAGAGAGGTATGGGGCCTCCATACCTCTGAATAACTGACCAACTCTAGGTACAGCAGCTGGTATTGGAGACCTGGCAGCTTGCTGGAGGTTCCTTGCTTCGTTTCAAAAGTCTGGGTTTCCTCCTGAGTCCAAAACAGTGTAGGCTGATGAGATGAGGGAGAAAACAGATAAGGGGCCCAAGGTGAGGTACAGCCTTCACTCCCCAGGGTCCCTCAGTAAGAGCCATGAAACAGAAAAACCCCACCCTGTGCCACCTGAGGATGCTTGGGGTTCTATTATTAGCAAACCACCCTAATTAGTAGTTTCACACCTACGTCATCATAGACTCCAAGTCAGCTGCTCAACTCACTTTTGCGAATGAGTCAATGCGTGGCATGTAGACGTGGGCCGCCCTTTAAAAGGAAAGGGACATT